GCGTAGGAAAGGCATGACTCCTGGCGGAGCTAAAGTCCAAAATCGACAGCCCTATGCAAATGCGTTGCAGATTATGCACCATTTATTCTCAGCCTTGCTTTCTACAGGCATCAAGCGTTCAAGTATATGGTAGGATTTACGCTGTGAGATGTTGGTTGACACATCGATATATTTCGAGCTGTGGTGTAATTGATCGCCAGTTTAGTCGTGAGGAACTTACTGCTGATTTTTCAAGCTGGAATGAGGGGGGATTTTAATGATTTGAACCGATAATTCCGGTGACCTGTGGCTTTGCGTAACTGTACATTCCGCAGCTGTGCAGCTGTCGAAGTTGCAACCCCTTTTGCTGGGTACCTTGTCCGTAGCCAACAATTCCTCTCCTTAAGATTCCACTGACGTGCACAATGAGACTTTGCCCAAGCTCTAGAACAAGATGGAAGTAAAATCCGGATTCTTTATGCAAGTTCTGCCCGGAGAGCGCTCCAAAGATGAGCCATGCTGACGCTGGATGTGTGCATCAAGATCTCTATTCCAGCCCTTGCAGACCTGAATTTCTTTGGTTTTCGAACGTTTGGAGACCAAGCTACAGATTTTTGCAGCGGCCTCTCCCTACATTGCCGATTTATAGTATACTCTTGGACCTGCGAGTTGCTCTACTTCATCTCCTTCACAGTCGGGCTATATACCCTTGTCCGCTTCTCACGTTTCGACGAATCGCTCGAAATCGCGTTGTGAGCATTTACTTCAGCTCTGCCATCTCCGCTCGCCGTCAGCAGTTGGTTTCCATTACTCTTTGACAGAACTCAGCCACCAGACAATGCAAGCCCCACCATCCATGTTACATATACGACGTCCCAACCTCCTGTCACTCATACGACGCATCGAAGAAAGGCATGAGGGAAGGGGGTGGCGTGGAAGAAGTGATTCACTCACAGACTGCTAGCGGGGTACGGGTACATTCACCCAATTTGAGGCGCGCGCGGCAAATGGNCCATTTGCCGCGCGCGCCTCAAATTGGGTGGATGTTCCGTCCCCCACTGCTACCGTGATTGGATTTGAATGACACCGCGCGTAACATGACGCGCAAAACTGCGGACTACTAATCGATGTCTGGCGTCTTGTTTATTTTTGCTAGAATTCAGGGACGAGGAACATTTCATCGTGTCTGTTCCGTTCCGATCTTTCCCGTACGTCATTTCACAAGTGGACGCTTTCAGAGTACAGCGTCAAGCGCCTTTGACGCAAGAGCGTCAAGAGCCAAGTGCCTAAGTTGATGCTCCATCGCCAATCGGCCAATTTTGCGTCAACCGGTAGCGTTCGGAGCTTAGCGTCCGGCGTCCGCTCACGGCGTTTGCGATAGAGCTTGTTCTTTTTACCAGGGCTGCTTAGACCCTTTTAATAATAAAACAGCTCTATCACATTACACCATAGTAGTCAAAATGGGAAAGAACAGACCAATCCACCAAAAGGAACTGAGTAAAAGTAGAAACTGCAGCGCAAAAATTCATTCAAAACCCACGCGGTCAACGCCTGGTGCCGCCAACAAAGCCGAACACCACCGGTTGCCCAAGGAGTGTCGAGCGTCGGCATTTGCAGCGCGACGCTTCTTAGTCGAAGGCGCTTTACGCTTTATCGGAAAAATCCCCGTCACGCGCAATTGTAGATGGGGCCTTTACTTCAGTAAATTTCTATGAATCAGGTTCTTAGCGCTCGGATCAAGCGAAGAATGAAACTTATTTCTCGGCAACAATAAGGGCAGCTGGAAGTCTAACAGCCGGCTGGCTGCCAGAAGACTCAAAAACGCTATTCAGAAGAATCCTGCCTTCAGTTATGGGTCAAAGGGGAGCAGGATGGCCCAGAATCCCCTTGAAAAGGTATCCTAAACAGATCAAGGTGATCACGCACTACTCATATACAATCACCGCTGGAAGGGTAAGCGGTCGCGACCAGAGGGTATTCGGAACAGAGAGAGGCAGATGCTTAAGGATCTCATACTAACAGAAACCGGAAAAATTCCAAGAAAAGGACTCGCCAGCAGTTGATTCAGCGTCAAATTTGTTGAACCAACTTGTTCATTTCTTTTCAATATGCGTTTCACCGTTCAGGCACAATGGGTGGATACCCAAGTGGTGTTTGCCATGCCGTACGATACACCCGTTCCTGGATATCGCAACAACGTCGTGAACACTTTGCGTCTCTGGAGTGCAAAGGCAAGTCCTTGATTCCTTTTATTTCTTAAATTTATCTCACTCACAGAGCCTCAGATAGTTTCCGTGGCATAAGTTGGAAAACGAACCTTTTTATCACATAATTTTCCATAATATTTTCGAAATAGAGCGCATTTCAGGCCGAAAATCATTTCCATTTGAAATTCTTCAATGATGGCGACTACGTACAGGCTGTTATGGATCGTAATCTTTCGGAGAATATCACTCGTGTCCTTTATCCTAACGATAACGTCTGTTTTTTTACTCACTTCATCGAGTTCTTATGGTGGCGGTCAATTTTTGGACCTCCTCCTTTTACATAGGTGATGTTTAGGTTTTTATTGGAAAAGAACTTCGCTTGAAACAACAGTACTTCTTGGTTGCGGCCACACTTCAAGATATCATTCGGCGGTTTAAATCGAGTAAATATGGATGCCGAGATGCTGTTCGAGTTAACTTCGACGCTTTCCCTGACAAGGTCAGACTCCTCTTTGAGTCAAAGGTAGCAGGTCTCCTGTATTGAAGTAATTAATATTCAGGTTGCAATCCAACTTAACGACACCCATCCTTCCATCGGAATCCCTGAACTCATTCGTTTACTTGTAGACGTTGAAGGTAAAGTCCACAGGCTGGAGTTTCATCTTTTCATCACATTACAATGTTTTTGACTACATTCTGTTTCAAGGACTACCATGGGCTCAGGCTTGGGATATTTGCGTGAAAACATTTGCCTACACAAATCACACCTTACTACCTGAAGCGTTGGAAAGATGGCCTGTGTCGATGCTTCAGCATATGCTTCCACGTCATCTAGAAATTATTTATGAAATAAACCAGAAGTTCATGGAGGTGATCACAACTTTACTTTTTAACATCCTTTCTGAGACTTACGGATTTCGTGACGGTCCCTATAAACATTAAGTGACCTCTTGGTAACTGTAGCTTTCAGGCAGTATCCGCTCGCTACCCGGGAGATTTCAACAGGATGCGTCGCATGTCCATTGTTGAAGAAGCTGATCAATATGGAGAGGTTAGTATGGAAAATCCAATTTTGCTCTTTATTTCTGCAGATTTCCCTTGTAGAAGCGAATCAATATGGCTCATTTGTGCATTGTATGTTCGCATGCTACCAATGGAGTCGCTGCTTTGCACTCCGATTTGCTTAAGAATAACACGTGAGTTTTTTCCTTTTTACTTCTGTTAAGTCCATGTTCTGAAAGAATACTTTTTTTATTGGAAAAAAAGGCAGAACCGAGGAACAATGACGGCATGTGTTCTTCTCAAGATTATCCGTGTTCATTCAATTCTGCCTCTGTCTTTGAACTTGTGTTCATAGCTAAAATATACCTGTTTTGAATGGTCGAATATGGGCATAATATTCAGGTTCAAGGACTTCCACGAGATGTTCCCAGACAGGTTCCAGAACAAAACAAATGGCATCACACCCCGCCGTTGGCTTCTTCTTTCAAATCCCTCTCTTGCAGATGTAATTGCTGAGGTGATGTTAATTCCTAGCTTAATTAGGTGTAAAAGATATACCTCCACTTCCTACCGAGACGTACCACATTTCTCTAACCGAACATCGGTCGCGTTTTCTCTTGTAATCTCGTTTTCTTCTTTCTTTTCATCCTAATCTCCCATTGCATGAGGTTGTTTCAAGAATTTTGAACAATATTTCTTCCTGCAGTACAGAGTTTTTCCAGGCGATACTTATTAGTCCCTTAATGCAGTTACTACACACTAACAAATGTATTTCAGAAAATCGGAGAGGGATGGATTACAAATTTGGATGAGCTTCAAAAGTTAAAGGAATTCGTAAACAACCCAGGATTCCTAGACCAGATCCGCCGAGTGAAGCAGGTTCTTTTTTTGTTTTCGGGAATCATCAGGTGTCATTTATGTTTTCGTGATCTGTTTTGCCTTGTTCAGGAAAACAAGATGCGTGTTGCGCAATACCTCGAAGAAGATTATAATGTGGAAGTTAACCCAGCCAGTATATTCGATATTCACGTACGTTTTCTCACTCCTTTTTGATACTATTTATTGGTCTTTCTGCGGGAATGGTTCAGTAGTTAACAATAACTCCATTGATAACGGAGTGAAAGTTCAACAAGTAAAATAGTAAGCGCGGATCTTACCACAATGACAACACAGAACAGTAATGAACAAGTCTTTATAGAGTAAACAGCGTAGCTCTCGCTCATGGCTTTTTAGACGTAGAATGCGGACCACACTTTTTGGTGGTTCCACTTGACCTCCTGTATCACTTGTGAGCGTCCCTGACTTGGAACGTCGTTCAGTGTGCGAGGGAGAGGCATCTTCGATTTAAAAAAAGGTACTTTCTGCTTCACATCACTGCGTAGGGTTGGTTGTTTTCGGAGTGAAACGAAGCTGCCCAGTAAGCTACTGAAAGAATGTCGACCTGATCATCGCACAGTACAACTGCCATCACGAAAAGCTGAAATGAAAAACTCGTGAGAGAAACTAGAGGGGTTTGTGCTCATCTCTCTCTTAGGAAAGGATCATCCTCGCCATAATTCTATGCATTCTTCTGCACGGCCTTCCTTATTCTTTCCGCGACTTTCTATATTGTCTTCTTTCCTGCTAAGCTCAAACGAATGTTGCAAGCGACGGGAATAGTATGTAGATGAGCTGCTGCATATTCTCTCAATTCCTTTTCGGTTCTGACACCTTTTCCATGCCTCTAGGGTTGGTCCTTGACTGTTGTGTAGTATGATTCTTTCCTGAGCTTTTTTGAAATTTCGCAGTTTTCACGCAGTAGCTGCTTTTATGTTATCGAAGGATTAAGCTATGGAATGAGGAGATGCCCTTTGTCCAAACATTGGAATAGCGAGGTCAACAGGAATTTAGCAATAGATCAAATTATAATGGCATAGCTTGCGATGAGTTAATATAAGCCTTTTGGGCGTTCCTGGCGGCATTGACAAGCTTGAGCAAATTTGCTGCTCCTTTTCTCAGATGTTCCTCGGTTCCACCTTGCCACATGTCTTCAGTCTTCTTCAGGGCGAAGTGTCGTAACACTTTGTGATATGCAAAACTAATTTTATACATGGTTGTGTAGTTAGTCTTCTCTTCGATGGTCTAACTTCGAATCAGCTGTGCATTGTGGGGCTTATTGTTAGATTCCATCATGGCATTGTCAGTCCTGAAGATCCGGATCTATCAGCTCAGTGTAGATTCAGAATTTCAGGCAGATGATTTTTCTACCTCCCTTGGAAGGCTGCCCCATTTACTTCACGCCGAGCTATCTGACACTGTGTCAACTGCGGTAGTTGCCTGATGGAAACCCTAAACTGGATCATATAATGAAGACAAGAGGGGATTTTCAATATTTTTGAGTAGCAGCTGTCATTAGGGTCGAGTCTACCGCATAAGCCGCATCGAGGGTGTTTTCCTGCTTTGACTGCACACGAGTTACGGAGGAGTCATCTTATGAATATATAGGGCTAAGAGGTAGTAATGTAGGTGTATAACAAAAATATACAAAAAACACTTTTCGAGCTAATTTTTGTTATAAAACTATTATATGTTCTAGAGTGAACAATGTTAATTATCAATTTCTGGCTGAGCCACGTTATCAACCGTAAGCCGTCTGTACGGTTCCTCAGGAGTTGACAAACGGGAAAGCCCTTGCGATCAGAAAGTCGTTTTTGTTATTATTTCTACTGGCTGCTGTGAAAGTTGGGGCATTGTTTGCTTTTGTCAGGTGACAATGTTAACAGCGTCGGTCGCAGTCCGTTTCTTCAGTCATTTGAATGAAGTTTTTAGTCCAAGCAAACCCAAGCGTTTTGTTTCGTTCTGTACTCCAAGTACGCATGCCCCTCTATACTCACTGTTTAGAAAAATTGGTGTTAGGTTCAGGGCGGAGAGTTTAGTAGAGTTATTCTGTTTGTATTCACTCAAGTAAGTCTATGGTAATCCTTGGTTATCATATCTATATTTGCTTGCTGCTACTAACGCTACTATCTCCCTCAATTGGTCACATTTCAGGTGAAACGGATTCATGAGTACAAGCGGCAGCTGCTCAACATTCTTCATGTCATTGCTTTATATAATAGGATCAAAGCGAATCCGAATATCGACATGGTGCCTAGAACATTCCTTTATGGTGGGAAGGTCAGTTTATAACCTTTATTATATTTGAGAAATCATCGAATAAGAGATTGTTGTTAAGGCAGCGCCTGGCTATCACATGGCTAAGCAAATAATTCGCTTGATCACTAGCGTCGGAGAATTGGTGAATAACGACCCTATCGTCGGAGACAAAATTAAGGTGAGTTTTTGAAATGAGAGATCTTTTGCTTCCAGAATTCTTTTTTTTATTGAGAATCATGGTTTTCCGCAGAACCCAAACGTCAGTGTTTACCGTTCCCCTTCCCCTAAGGTATACGGTCCTAATTCTTGTTTGTCAGGAGCAATTGTAGCTTTTCAGGTTGTATTCCTCGAGAACTACCGTGTCTCGATGGCCGAGAAAATTATCCCTTCTGCAGATCTCAGTGAGCAAATTTCCACAGCTGGCACAGAAGCTTCCGGAACCGGGAATATGAAATTTATGGTACATTTCTACCTCTAAGTTTGCATTTTTTTTTTAATTCAGTGAGCAGGACGGTTGGTGTTTTGTACTAGCCTTTGCCGTACTTATTCATCTCATGATCGAGTTCTAGCTTAACGGAGCTCTCACCATTGGTACGCTTGATGGCGCCAACGTGGAAATGGCTGAGGAAATGGGAATGGAGAATATATTTATTTTCGGTATGAATGTTAATGAGGTTCGTTCAATTCTTCGCGTTGGTATTCGGGACGCTTTTCGTTTATTCATATGAAAACAACCGTTATAGGTAGAAGAGCTACAAAGGCGTGGGTATAATGCCGAAGACTTCATCAACAAGAGCCCAGCTTTGAAACAGGTTCGTAACCATTTGTTGATTATGTTGGTCCTTGCAGTCCCCTACTCCTACCGAATTTTCTAAACGCAGTCATGATCTTGCAGATAGTCGAACAAATCGAAGAAGGTATGTTCACCCCGGAACAGCCAGATCAATTGCGTGATCTGACTAACATGCTGCGACGTCACGACAGATTCCTTGTTTGCGCTGACTTTGATGCCTACGTTGCTTGTCAAGATAAGGTAATTAAATATAATGCATACAAACCATCAAGCTGTTTACTCCATATTATGCACATGTGGCTCGAAAGTTAGATTTATCTGTTATAATGCTGTTCAATTCCTTATCATCGATGTTGAGATGTTAGCTGTGGCTGGTAAGTTAGAGTCCATTTACACCTCGAGGGGATTTGCTGAGCAAAACCGAAATGCTGCTGGGTCACGATGAAGGAGGGTGCTTGTAGTGTGCAAAGCAGTGAAAAAGGATCTAGGCAAGCGCAATAAAAGACGAGGAAACCGTAGAATTTGTAGTCAATATGCGCCTCCCATTTTTGCGGGTTTTTTGCCTTGGGTAATCGAAGGTATGGCTTCATCAAAACCTTCTCCTTCAACTTCCTACTTATCAGCTGTTACTGTTACTTGGCTGTTAGGCATGTGCTTCCTGCTTAAATATGATGAATACGTCAGTTTATAGCCATGGTACCCTAATAACGCCTGAGCTGGCCATAAGCCTCCACACTTATTCGTAGTGAAAGTTGCAGACGTGAATATTATTTGAATTTTTACTGAAAAGGTCGCTGAGAAAAACAATAACTCACTCTTTGAGTGTAGGGATTTCCTCCACTTGATTAAAATTTTGCAGGTGTCCGAAGTGTACCGAGACCAGCAAAAGTGGTGTCAAATGGCGTTGATGAACATCGCATCCACAGGAAAGTTCAGCACTGATCGAACCATTGCGGAGTACGCCCGAGAAATTTGGGGTATTGAACCTGGGGAGACCAGTCTTCCTGCTCCCTATGAGAATCCAGACGGTGTTGAACACACTCATTAAGTATATTGCTCATTATAATTTGTCCTCCTATATTATTTTCTAGCATTCTCTTTTTTCCTCGTATATTATTTATCATTTTCCAGGCATGCAAGTACTCAGAGTAATAAGAGTAGTGTAAATAGAATAATTTAGGTCAGGGGCCTAGTTACTGCCTCATCCATGACGACTAGACGGGATGGTTTGTTGATTAAATAAATTAAAGTCCCGTTATTTAAATGTTTTAGTGAAACGTGTGTTTTGTAACTACTCAAACCGATGCCATTTTAAGCGTGATGTTCGTTTTAGGTTCTATGTTTTTGTTTGTAGATAAATGTGTGACAAAAGGAGTTGTCTGACAGATTCTAACTCGACGGGAGCCCAACTCTTCCTCCCTACACAGCACAAAAGCTGCAGGGTAACTGTAGAACGCGGCGAGTGATTACGTTGTTGGGATGAGATCAGTAGCAATGGCTGTCTTTTCACCATTGCCGTCGCATTTTCGAGAGAACGTAAGGCCATAAGCGATCGTGAAACTCGTGGGGTGTGCAATTTGAGTTCTAGATGTAGTAGTTAGGTTTCTTCGCATCTCCACGTAACTGCTCGTTGAACACCTGTTTGAAACTCGGCTCCAGATAAAATTGATTTCTGAGATATCCTCTCAGGATGAATCTTTGCTACTCCCTATACCTCATGTGGCACTGCGAGATGGGAAAACAAACAGGACAAAAAAGGAGCGCTGTAAAAGCTCAAATATTATATCGGCTGTACGCCACACCCAAAAGTGGGCGAGTTTCAGCGTTATGTAGAGCTCCATCATTCACAAGCGGCGCCCACGATAAGTGGTCGTGATCCAAGGCGACGGTGGAAGGCAATTTTGGACTTTTTTTTTGCTTAATTTAGTCAGATCTTTACGCAATTGAAACGACTGACGTCTCGTCCAAGCATCCCTTACATGCCGTTTCGGTCGTGGTAATCGCGTACAACCTCTATTTTCACTACTTTCAGCACGTTATATTTTTCCCGAAATCGGCGAGGGGATCCTCCCTTCTTTCTAGAATCGACCCTCAATAATTTGACCGATTCACCTCTTTTCATACATCTGCAGCCACTTGAAGGCATAATTCCCAATAATTTCGCGGTACCCTTGTTGACTAGCAAAAAAAATTCATCAATTCTACGAAGAAGGCGGCTACCTAAAAGTGGCTAAAATAGAGGTTGCACTAGATCACCATAATGGCATGGAAGGGGTTTCGGACGGGGTTTCAGTTGTCGCGAATATTTGAAGTAATGGCTAGATTACGCCGAGAATGTTGAAAACGGCTTCGACTGTCGCCATGGATCACGACTAAGTGTTTGGGTTCCCAACATGGGTGTTCCTTGTGACTGGTGCAGTTCCTACGGCGCCGTGAACGGCTGCTTTCATCCGCCGGCCGGCCGGCGTGCCGGCGTGCCGGCGGAGGCAGTGCTAGGGGGAGGAGGGAGGCAGACANTCCGCCGGCACGCCGGCGCGCCGGCCGCCCGGCCGACCGGCGGACTATGAAAGGAGCCAATCTTGTCCGCCTTTGCATGTGGCAAACAGCCGATACAATCTTTGAGCTCTATCTAGCCTGTATTAGGATGCCACAGAATCATCCTAGAGATACAAGGCTGGAACTTTTAAACTTTTATCGTTAACATTAACGAAAGCACTTGATCGTCAATCGTTTTGCTTGATGAATATACCCTATGTAATTCAATTCATATTCACTACTACTTCATGAAAATCCAGAAGAACTTTTGAAGTCCTAGGGGATATTGTTGACTACCCTTTTCTCGCTGCCCACCCTTCTCACATACTCGTTTTTATCCTTTGAACTCGACTGCGGTGTTCAGTGAACTGATTGGTTCTTGTTTCTGAATGGTTTCAACTAGCTATCTAACCCAATTGGATCAGATGAAAGAGCGAGTCTATCTTGAAAATACCTAGGCCATTCCGTTGCTGTACCTTTTTACGACACCGCTAGGCTAATCTCTTGTTCTTTTTCAATTTGCTAGCTTCTGCTGTTAGGAGACACAGCGGTTCCCTTTTTCTCTTAGCGACCAACAAACGACGGAATGGTTGGCTACTGTCGAAATGTGCAAAAAAGGGAAGAAAATGTCTATTACGTTGGCCGCCGTACAGACTCCGCACTCTTCCGCTTCGAACTGCCATTAGTGCCAGAAAAGCTCAAAGAACCCATCTACTTGGCATTCCACACTAGCCCTTTCTCTGGAGGACACTTCAACTGGAAGAAAACCCTAGCGAAGGTGGCACGCAATTACATTTGGCCTCATATGGCTAAAGATTTTTTTCGCTGGTACGTTCTCGAGCATGCCCACGGCCTTATGCCACTAATCGTGAACATCTGTTTCCCGTAGTAAGCAAAGCGATGTTCGATAAGGTTTATAATGACTTGACTGGACCGCTGTATGTGTCCGAAGCGGGTGACAAATATATACTAGCGATGTTGGACCATTTTCTAAATATGTCATTGCTACGCCGCTGCCAAATTACACGGCGGTCACGATAGCGCATGCTATTGTTTCCGAGTGTATATTAAAGTTCGGCGTCATGGCCCAGCTTATATCAGGCAATGCTTTATACTTCAAAGCCGNGCTGTATGTGTCCGAAGCGGGTGACAAATATATACTAGCGATGTTGGACCATTTTCTAAATATGTCAATGCTACGCAGCTGCCAAATTACACGGCGGTTACGATAGCGCAGGCTATTGTTTCCGAATGTATATTAAAGTTCGGCGTCATGGCCCAGCTTATATCAGGCAATGCTTTATACTTCAAAGCCGAAGTAATATCCGAGTTGGGACGGTTTCTCCGCATCCATAGGTAATACTGTACCCCTACCATCACGAAGGTAACGGCGCGTGCAAACGAATTTTCGCTACTTTTCATCCAGTGCTCCGTACCTATATCAACGAGAACCAACTGCATTTGTGCTTGCGCATTTATGTAATCCAGTCACTACTCTTCACGCAGCATGGCGTTCAGCGATGGCTTTCAACGAGCGGCAAAGAGTGAATTTCAAAGCGCGACACAATCGTTCCCACCTATTACCCTATCCAAGGAAGGCGATCGCGTATACCGCGGCCTAGCCCCCAAGGTAGGACTATCCCCAAAAGCTTTGTTATCCATGGCTGGGTCAGTTTCGTGTAATCAAGGTAGACCCCCCCCCCTCACTCAATCATAGTTAGCATCTCCTCTCCCCAATCAGCACCCAAGAAAGTTCATGGATCAAGCCAAACCATGTATTCTCCTGTAGGACCAGTTTTTACTACCTCATGGCTGCCGGAAACCGAACAGCTTGCTCTCACTGCATCAGAAGCCGTCCACAGTCCCGTGGAAGGCTACGGTCATACCATAGACCAGTATCAGTCTCCCACGCTTTCGATACCCTCGCATTCGTATAATACACGCTTCAAATTGAGGCGCACATTGCTTCAACCGGAACGGTCGGTAACAAATTTGAATTCCGTTCAACTCACCGTTGAGTTTACCGTCTCCCATGCGCTTTTTTCTCATGCCAGGCTTCTCTGTTTTCATTTGGCGCTCTGGCATTTCACATGTTTAAATGCCATTGCCTTTATCTGTTATGTCTAGTCTCATCGGAAGGCACGCCTGCTGCGCTGATTTAACCAACCTGTCTTCATCAAGTCCTCATTCGGCGTTTATCACCACTTTCTTACCCCTTTTGTAACTTTTACCTGTATGCTTCTAACCCTCTTCAGTATCAATGTTGTAGTATGATATATACCTATACATATACATATATTTCGTATTGTGTCTCGCTCCTTTTTACATAACCGACGAAGCATCTTTTCTACAACAATCGACTTTAACCTTTCTTACGTTTTGCTGACTAAGATACATATTATAGGTAATTGTTAAAGGCCCGACTACTGTTCGATCACTTCTTACGTCTTTTTGGTTTGTCGTGTGGTTTAGCTTTATTAGCTTCGTGATTTCCACTGTATTCTCCTCGATAGGTTCGGTATCGACATTGAAACAGGCTGTCGCGGTTTCAATAGGTCTCTAGTTTCAGATAAGGAGTTCGTCTGGGTATATGATGTCAAAGTCGACACCCCAGGCATTCGGGTCTCCAAACGACACCCTTAAGAAGGATTCCATCTCTCGTGCCACGGCTCTCAAAACAAGTGCCTCCCTTTTCAGAGCGGCTCACTATGCTTTCGTAAGCATCATTGATCGCCCAGATCCATGGAGTAATCCTCCCCCTCACGGCCCGGCACAATCGCGTTCAACACGTTCGAGCGGTGTTCGAAGGTTCGCCGAATGCAGTCACGGTTACTCCCGCTCTTTGCCATTTCAGCCTTAAGCGTTAAGCCAGTATGACGTTGTGGGGACATATTCCCTTGTAAATGTCTCCTCAGCCATTCAGTTCTGTGAGCCTCCGGTAGAGACTCGTGAACAACTAGCGTCCACCGTTCGTCGGTTCTTCTCGATGCACCCGGAAGAGGGAATCCTCCCCACACGAGTCTTCCTGTTGCCGCTAAGCGATCGTGAATGGTCCGCCGACCCCTACTCCAGGGCTTCGATAGTTTCCATCGAGACCCTGCGGGATCCAAGCGATCCAACGCAATTTGTGCAGCGCTTGCGGCAGTAAACACTCATTTACAGGAGGTCACAGTAGTTTTCCCTCTCTGGCACCCATTTCGAGTGAAATTCAGTCTCATTTAGGTGTCGGAAGCTGGATTGACCCGGTCGACATGTCGTTATTTGGGTGGTTAGTTCTCCCAGTCTGGTATGGGGTAAGGTTGTTACCCTTTCAACATTTCTGACCGTAAGTTGCTCAACCTTACCCTTGAAACGTTCCCGTGGTCCTACACCACTTTCTTCCGAGCGACTTAGCAAAACGGCCGCGGCTCTGAGGACGGATTTCGCGTATTTGATGCTTGCAAACCCTATTTGTGACCTAGTGTCGCGTATGGATATATCCGCATGCCTTAATACGTACTCCATCGGTGACCAGGTTATTAATATCCTTTATGCCAAAAAAGCGGCGGGAGCCAGTGAGGAGAAATATCTGCGCTCCCTTCCAGCTCCGTCTCAGGAGGCCCGGCCGTTCAGAGTTAACCAGCGCACTCTCACGTTGATCTCATACCAACGAGACGCCATCCGCAACGGCGCAAGCCATATACCGCTGGTAGCCATTCGAGCCGTTTCCGGCACCGGCAGGACACTAGTGGGAGCACTTATAGCGCCGCTTTCTGTTAAAACTCCTAAGACTACCGTCATCCTTAAACATCAACGAATGCGGCGGTAACTCAATTCACGGAAACACTGCTGACGTTGGCCGATTTTGCCGAAATGCAAGCGGTTCGGCATATCTCGCACACGGTCGCGGCGGACAATCTCACCCCCACACCCGCAGATCTCAGCAAGGTGCTTCTCACTCTAGGTGACAGATTTAGGCACCAGCTTTCGACAGAGGATTCGGAAGTATGCCGACGTTTTAAACGATATCGCTCCATAATCGAAAAAATGACGGCAACCCCGACGCGATGCCGGACGTGACGGATGACGAAAAGGAGGAATATGAGGTAGCAGAACGGTGTGTGTCCCGCACGCTCAAACGCATGGTCAAAATCTTGTTTGCGGTTAACCGTCCCTCGGTATTATATATGACTACCTACTCCCTCCTCAACTCAACAGCCCGCTCCGGAATTTTCAAGTCCTACATTCCCTCTTTCATTACTGTAATAAGTGATGAGGCCTCACAAATACCGGAGCCGGCCCTTCTGACTATCGGAGGGCGTTTGTCTCATGCTTGCCACGTTTATATTGGCGACACCCATCAGCTGACCCCACATGTTAAATGTCCGCCATACTCCATGCAGCCCTTCATGGCGCACGTAGTGTCATGAGCCTTCTCCTAGATTCCCCGGTAGTCCCAGTAGCTCCCCTAGTTACCACCTTTAAATCTCAGGCCGCACTCATAGCTCTCCTTAATGTGATCGCCTACGACGGAACCCTCGTGAGCGGCACAATCGCGCAAGCACGTCGTGTC